TCCAAACCATTCACCTCCGAGTCAGCCATCTCTTTGTCCATCGCTTCCGACATTCACTGCTAATGTCCACTGATATTATAAATGCATGTCTGGTCAGTGATAGTGCACGTGTGGCACCAAATCAATGGTAATCAATGGAAATGTGCTAAAAAACAAATATTATATCAAAATTGAGTTCATTTCTCAGTTTCACTGAATATTTGCGGTATTTTTCACAATAAATGCACTGAAAAGCCGACCATTGGTTGCATTCAATGCGCGACTTTCAAACCAAACACTATTTCTGGCTTTTTATTCATTTAATGTTTTACAAGAATTTAATGTCTGTCACATTCATGTGACATTGGTGCTTTCATATTACCATTATCATTTATTATAAATCAAATTAAAATCAAAATTAATTCAATTTATTCTTATCTTTAAATTGTATCATTATACTGTATTTATAAAATGTATTTTGAAGTGATTTAAATTTACTATTATATATTTAAATATTGATTCAAAAATTATCAATGTAATTGATTATTGTCATTAATTTATAAACCATTTAAATAATATTTTATCTTTAAAATACAAATAATTCAAACAATATAAAATATGAAATTTTTCTAAAATATAATTACTAATTAATAATCCTATTAAAGTACTGTTGATATAACCTACTAAATGGTTAATGTTTTAAAATAATTCAGATACCAATTTAATCCATACATTTAATAATAGTTCTCTATATTTACCATAAGTTTTAATATAAATATCATTTATCTCATCACTATTCAATACATTATAGAGTAGAATATTATGCACCTAAAAATCTATTCTTAGAAAATGCTTGAAATGGAAAGTTTTTTGAGGTTAAGAATTTGTTTGGTCTATACTTTTAGCTAAATTTGACTTTTCATTCTCGAATTTCAGGTCAAATATTTTAATCTAATAAGTAATCAAAACGATTTAATACGAATAATCATGAATTATAGACTAATGTCAATGAAACTGAAAACAATATAAATTGTAAAATGGTTTAATGGGTCAAAGTTTACAGAAAGAAAAGTTATTCCCTAATAGGGGTCACGTCTAAAATTACTAGCTATGGGCTGACCACTGCTCTCACCATTGATTGCAAGTGGAAAGGGGTCACTAGAAAGTGAGTGAAAGTTTTTATCTAAAAGCAATTAATATTGAGAGTATACGTGAAATTATTTGTCCCAGTTTATTTGCTATAAAAATGAAAGAATTTGTCACTTTCTGGACATTCGGATTCAACTACTATTTGAGTTCAAGTATTGAATACTTTATTTGAAACAACACTTCAATCACTACTTTCAAAGTAACGATGAATTTCTCAACACTCGTTTCGGTCACTATTCTGGTTGTATTGCTCAATGTGCTGATCACTCCGGGATCAGATGCCATCGGCTTAAAGACAATTGCTTTTAAAGCAGCGAAGTTCGGAACAATTGGTCTCATCGGCAAAGGTATGCATTGAATCACATTAAACCCCTTAATAGTCGTTATAAACTTATATTATATTGAACTACAGGTGCTTTGGTAGCCCCGATTTTGGCTAAAAAGGCAATCTTACTGAAGGCAGCGGCAGTGGGAGGCATAGCCGGTGCTGTGGCTGGAAGTGCTCTTAAGAAGCCTCTATTATTGCACAAAGCTCTTCCAGTTCTTCCGGCTGTGCCTGTGGTCCATAAGAAGACGTATTCGGCACCACTTCCGCCACCGATCGTGAAGACCAGTTATGCGGCGCCCACCTATCAGCAGACATACGTCGCACCGCCAGTCGTACGCGAGTCCTACAGTCAACCCATTGTCAGAAATGCTTATTAATAAGTCATAGATATTACATATTTTATTAGAAATTTTGTACTCAAATAGATTTCAAACTAATTAATTATACTATCATTTCATTATTTAAAAATAAAACTTCAAATATCGTGTGAAACAAACTCTTGAATTCATTTGAAGTTTTGATTACAAAAACTTTTTGCCAAAAACTCAAGTGTTGTTCAAATAAAGCGCTTAAAAGTGATTGAATGCTACGATTGGTTATGAATGAGTGAAATGTGCGAAAAGACAATAAAAGATCACATTTTCAGCCAAATTAGTGATGATTTTGAATATTTTTATCACAAAATGAACGCTAATTTCGAAATCAATTGATTCATTCAAATAACAGTCATTTCAACATATTTTCACCATTTGTTTCATTGAGTTGTGAATCAATTATTATCTTTGGATTCAATCGAGACAAACGCCAAGACATGACTCTGGAGGACGAGATCTTAGACTCACTGCAGGACTTGGATTACCCCGACTTCTCGGCCATCGACACCAATGTCTCACTTCTGACTCAATTGCAGACATTTTCGGCCATAATATCATGGATTTCATCACAACTCCAGAAAAGCCAACGTTTGGAGTCTTTCGTGAATCCAATCAAAGGTTTGTATCAATGGTTTGCTTCTTAACTGCCATTCAATGACATTCTTCCTCTTGTGTGCCATTCAGACGAATCGGAATCAATGTCTCTGAAGATTGAGTTGAATTCATTGCTCCGGGAATTGAAATCTCCTTTAATTGATATGTCTTTCGCCGAAAATGACAACAAATTACTGATACTTAACAGCCTTTGCGGACAACTGTTTGCTTCGCGTATGGATTGTGTGAACCAGAAGTCGGGATCAAATAAATCGATGAATATATTGGCGAATGAGAGCCAAACTGCCAAAGATTTGAAGACTATTCTCATTACTCTTGGAATGGGAAGACCTCCCGATTCCATCACTTCTGGGCTGCTGTTCAAGAAAATGAGAGATAATTTAATCCAACGATTGTCTCAACAAAAGATAACCATCGAAGACAGCCTTCTATTTCCTGAAGGACTCACTCTATCTCCAGACCAGTGGAAGACTTTGGAAGCGATTAATGAGGACTTGAAGAAAGACTATACGATTAGACGGGAAATGCTGTTAAGACGATGCGATTGCACTGTCGGTGCCTTTAAGTGGAAGTCAGACAACGTTTCCGATGAGTCGAAGGCTATTGAAAAGCAAATTACAGAGAAATATGAGTCCCGAAGACAGAAGTTGTCGATTACTCCCAACGTATTGATGTCCTCCGCTTTGGCCGCCCGGCAGTCAGACTGCGATCTTCTGGTGAACGCAATGGTCAGCCATAAGTCAGTCAATTGTCTCATTCCAGTGCCACAGACGACGGGTTTGGCGAATAAGGGCCGTCAGCAGCAAAAGCAGCAGCAGATGCAGGAAATTCACAAACACAT